AAGTCTTGCAAACCAATGGTAGAGCAGTCGACGCCATCGATGGTAACGGTTCCGGCCGTCGGCTCAATGAGTCTGAAGAGAGCCAACGCGAGGGACGACTTTCCAGCGCCGGTGCGGCCGACGATCGCAACCCTTTGTCGGCCTTTCATATCAATTGCTATATCTTTGAGCACTAAATCTAAACCCTCTCTATATTTAGTGCAATAGTCTGTGAACTCAATGCAACCCATTGTCGGCCAGTTGTCCGCGGGTTTGGTCTTCTCATTATACCACTCGGCCTTTAAAATGTATAGAAACACTCATTAATACAAATATTTTATCACAACTTAAAACAAAAATATTTACTTCTTGAGGAGTTTGTGTTAATTCCATACACTTTTCAACGGTAACCATAGCTTTATCGGTATGACTGATATAAGTTACAAATGCGCTTAAAATTAAGGTTATATTCAAAGAGTAGTTGATTACTAGCGCTGCCAAACCGGGCGACAACTGATCCCTGAAGATCACGGCAGACATGGTTGACACAAACACTATTAATGAGCCCAAGAACTCGAGCCTAATCTTTAGCCACTGTTCGCCACAAGAATCCAAATAAACACATTGATTGTTGGCGTCGAGCCGTCGGTACGACTGCCGGACAAACCAGTGGTCGGCGTCAAACGCCCTAATACTTGCCGTTCCGTTGAAAGTCTCACTCAAATAGCTTATAATCGGCGATCGGGTCTCGGATTCAATGCGTTTGATTTGTCGGGAGCTCGAGATGTAAATCCGTTGGCATACGATATACACTATAATAATGGGTCCGATGGCCAGCAGTACTAATGGTGTCTCAAATGATATAATTATCAGCGACTGTGTCATCATAAAGAAGTTAATGAACGTTAAATCCAATACATAGATCACATAACCATCCAAAGTGTCGATTCCATCTGAGAATCGAAACAACAATCGCCCGATTGGTGTCGTGTCTGTGTTGTGAAGGAATGGTATCATAATTAACAATAAAGACAATAGACTTATAGTGTATCTACTGACCGAAGTAAGACATGGGCGCCCGAACCACACGCCTGATCATCTGGTCGTGCAATTGATTACTGGTTCGCATACACCGTATCCGTAGCCATAACTGTGCGATAATGAGGGCAATCACTTCGGCCCCACCGATGCCGGCGTAGACCCCGAGCCGATACACCCGTAGATCTGTTCCGTTGCCAACGCGTGGTTTTAGCGCGTCGTTTGACCACTCGCTCAGCCATAGACCCGACGCCGCGCTCGCGATGTTTGACGCAATGAAGGCCACGAATATTGTAACCAAACTCCAGGCGCCGATTAGACCGAAGTATTGCTTATAGACACTCATTTTGATGCCTCCTTTGGCCGACACTTCTTTGTCTATGAGTTTGCCTTTACTTTCATCAGACAATTCTTCTTCATTATTATCATTAGGTTTTGTATTACTATTTTTTTCAGACTTTTCTTCAAGAATTTCTACTTCAGATGTTTTCTCTGTATTTGGGTCGCTTATAGACACATGTTTTGACACATTTTGTGATTCAGAATCGCTGTCATTAGATCTGACGGACAATTGCTTTTCAATCAATGGTTTTACTGTTTGTTTCAGTTTTGCCAGAATTTGCAGTTCTTTCTCATCAATTTCTTGAGATTCCTGTTTAACGACATATTCGGCAACAAATTCAGCGAATTCTCCACTTTTGGCCATCAGTTCATCAAATGATCCGAAATCACAAACGGATCCTTCTTTTAAGACAATTATTTTGTCCACTTCTGGCAAAACTGACGCCTTATTTGTCACTAAA